ACTAAATCCTTTTTAGGTTCTGCATCTTGGTTTCTATGATTTCTTGTTCCAGCTTTCAGTTCTCCTTTATGAATAGAAAATTTTGTCATTTAGGATGATTTCTTAGACTGAATCTTAATTCGGAGAGTAGATACATTTTTAAATATTACATCTTTTAAAAGTTTTTTATTCAGAAAATTAACCCCAGTCTCTGATTTGTTTGGAAACCTTTTTGCTTTTTATTTGCTTACGCTTAATTTAAGCCTGAAAGTTTAGTTCACTTTTAAAATGTTTTTCTTTTGTTAGAATATATTTTCAACGTTGTTTAATTTATATAATAACCTATATCCTAGCTTACTTGTTGATTTTATCAGTTTAGAGGCACATGTCATAATTCTTTACGCAAACAGAGTTTGATCTTTATTCTCCTATTTATGTTCTGATCTTATTTTTACGTTTCTAATCTGCATACAATTAAACAGTAGTAAAAACTAGTTATATATACTTATATTCCATAAGAATGGAGGAAGGAAGGGGAGAGGGACAGGTCCAGGGAGGGGNGCACTGCGGCTAGAACAGGCTAAGAGGGCGAGCACTGCGGCTAGAACAGGCTAAGAGGGCGAGCACTGCGGCTAGAACAGGCTAAGAGGGCGAGCACTGCGGCTAGAACAGGCTAAGAGGGCGAGCACTGCGGCTAGAACAGGCTAAGAGGGCGAGCACTGCGGCTAGAACAGGCTAAGAGGGCGAGCACTGCGGATAGAACAGGCTTAGGAAGTTGGCACTCGGGAAAATACTCTTGAAACTTGCCGCTTGGGAAATTGCATTCGGAACAGTACCTAACATCTTTGTATGTAGGTAAGTTCCATGTAAATTCGAATCTCTCATTAATAAGATTTTTCCCCCTATCTGAATGCATCTAATGAAACCTAATTTGTAAAACTTTTTAGTCTTATTTTTTTCTCTCGATTAAAATTGAAAAATTAGATATTTGTATTCTCATACTAGGACTGTGGATATTTACATATTAATGGGATTGTTCAGATATATCTGAAGGAGAAGAAGATACCAATTACTGATAACAGGTTTCTAATAATACCTCAGCTTTCATAAACTTATCAGAGTAGACAAATGGGGAAAATTAATTTGAGCAATAATTTGTTTCTACCTCTCCTCTTTCTTCTTCTCCTCCTTCGCCTCATTTTCCTCTTTCTTCTTCTCCTCCTTCTCCTTCTTCTCCTCCTTCTCCTCCTTCTCCTCCTTCTCCTCCTTCACCTCCTTCTCCTCCATCTCCTCCTTTTCCTCTTTCTCCTTCTTCTCCTCCTTCTCCTCTTTTCCTTCTTCTCATCCTCCTTCTCCTTGTTCTTCTTGTTCTCCTCCTTCTCCTCTTTCTCCTTCTTCTCATCCTCCTTCTCCTCCTTATCCTCCTTCTACTTCTCCTTCTTCCCCTTGTTGTATTAGAAGTCTACTCACGTGTGAATGTAAATGAACTTTATTTTCACCCCTCACAGTAAACTAATTAATAAATTTTCGCGCAATTTTCGCTTCAATCTGTTACGCGGGAAAATGCGAAATTTCGGAATTAAAAAAAAAATAATTTCACAAAATGCGAAATTTCCGCGAAATTTCGCTTCGTTTACGCAATTTTCGCTTTATCCAGAACACTGACCATTTTTCCTCATTATTAATCAGATAAAGGTTTCAAGGATATGGTTGTTAAACAGCTAGTCTTGCCATCTTTGCATGGAGGGACACGCCGCAAACGCTAACAGTCCCTTTCACGTTGTAATTATTCTCTGCTTATGAATGAATTAAAGATAATCTCTATGTATTTCATTATTGACACAGTAAAAAAACTACATATATTGAATTGATGGCTTATCTTATTTTTATGTGACTTTAAAATGCTTCAGATGGAAGTTTTCCATAATTTTCTTTTTCCTTATTTCTAGTTCCATTTTATTTTTTTCCCCCAATTGACTAGATTTGAGATGAGCTGACACCCCGACTTTAGTATATTTAAACCAGAGATGATATAAGATTACAGAGTCACCAATAATGGAATTCTGTAGATATTAAGTTTTCTAATAAGATAATTACAATTAACTCTTAAAAACTGTTCCCGCATATTACATGGATATTTATTTATTTTTGCAATTACTGAGATTTTGGTAAAATAGTAAAAAATTCATTGACAAATTGTCAAGACGACATTTTATAAATTCTTTCGATGGCTCCGAAGTTCTTGGTTAAGCTGTAAAAGATTACAGAGTCAGCATTTAGTTGTTACGGGCACTTTCAGCAAAGCATATAAAAGGGATACTTCCAAAATTATACAATACTAGCCATGTCGATATTATTTTCAAAATTATACAATATTAGCCATGTCGATATTATTTCCAAAATTATACAATACTAGCTATGTCGATATTATTTCCAAAATTATACAATACTAACCATGTCGATATTATTTTCAAAATTATACAATACTTGCCATGTCGATATTATTTTCAAAATTATACAAGACTTGCCATGACGATATTATTTTCAAAATTATACAATACTAGCTATGTCGATATTATTTCCAAAATTATACAATACTAACCATGTCGATATTATTTTCAAAATTGTACAATACTTGCCATGTCGATATTATTTTCAAAATTATACAAGACTTGCCATGACGATATTATTTCCAAAATTATACAATATTAGTCATGTCGATCTTATTTCCAAAATTATACAATATTAGCCATGTCGATATTATTTCCAAAATTATACAATATTAGCCATGTCGATATTATTTTCAAAATTATACAATACTAACCATGTCGATATTATTTTCAAAATTATACAATACTAACCATGTCGATATTATTTCCAAAATTATACAATATTAGCCATGTCGATATTATTTCCAAAATTATACAATATTAACCATGTCGATATTATTTCCAAAATTATACAATACTTGCCATGTCGATATTATTTTCAAAATTATACAAGACTTGCCATGTCGATATTATTTTCAAAATTATACAATGCTAGCTATGTCGATATTATTTCTAAAATTATACAATACTAGCTATGTCGATATTATTTCCAAAATTATACAATTTCGCATATTATTTGTTATTGAATGCCAGTGCAATATTTCGTAGGGAGTCAGCTGCGAAATATTGCACTGGCATTCAAAGTCTAATCTGTGTCTATCATATGAATCATTTATATAGAAAATAAATAATGTAGTTTTTCCATTTATGAAAGTTGTATACTTGTAATACAATTGTAATATCTTAATCTCTGCTACAAAATAAATATTTAGATCTGAAAAAAGATATTATTTCCAAAATTATACAATATTAGCCATGTCGATATTATTTTCAAAACTATACAAAATTAGCCATGTCGATATTATTTTGCACATTTCAAATTTTTCTAGTCGCAGAGCTTGTCTCTAACTTCAGAGACGCCTGTTAAAGGTTTTATTTGTGATATTTTATGACAAATTCTGGTTTTTAAATCCTTTTATTCATCTTCAACTTTGATAAATAATATTATGCATGGAAAAAGTATAAGTGATCGCTGTAAAATCAAAGGCCAAGGCATTGATACACTTCAAGTCTTGATTGCTGGATCTAGCATGTTTTGAGGTCTGTTTTAAAATATTAATATTTTTTGTAAGTTGCTCTACAAGAATCTTAGATGTTTGTTCAACATATTTTAAAATTGAGTAAGTTTGCTTTTATTTAGTCTATTTTAAAAATGTATTATCGATAAGTTTGCTTTCATTACATGACTGAAGATATCAACAAAAACAATTTATTAAAAATCAATTTATTAAAATTGTTTTGGTTTATATCTTTGGTCAGAGAAAAAAAGCATAATACAAAAAAACTTATCTAACAAATATTTTTCATCTGTAGATAAACATCTTAGATACTTGTGAAGCACACTAAAGACGTACAAATCAAAATAATTCAGTGCACGGAATGTGAAATAATTAAAATGAGAACTCTGTGAATCTGTATTCTCCAAGGATAGGAGACTGTCGGACACTGTCCGCTGAGTCAGGAAAATATAAAACTCATAATTTTAACCAGGAAACTCTAAGAAACTCAAGGAACCTAAGAAAATCAAGGAAACTTCAGGAGACTCCAGGAAACTCCGGGCTCTATGAAACTCAAGGAAACCCCAGGAAACTCAAGGAAACTTCAGGAAACTCCAGGAAACTCCAGGAAACTCCAGGAAACTCCAGGAAACTCCCGGAAACTTCAGGAAACTCAAGGAATCTCAAGGAAAATCAATGAAACTCAAGGAAACTCAAGGATACTTAAGGAAACTCAAGGAAACTCCAGGAAACTCAAGGAAACTCCAGGAAACTCAAGGAATCACCAAGGAAACTCAAGTATACTCAAGGAAACTCAAGGATACTCAAGGAAACTCAAGGAAACTCAAGGAAACTCAAGGAAACTCAAGGAAACTCAAGGATACTCAAGGAAACTCAAGGGAACTCAAGGAAACTCAAGGAAACTCAAGGAAACTCAAGGAAACTCAAGGAAACTCAAGGAAACTCAAGGAATCTGAAGCAATCACCAAGGAAACTCTTAGAAACTGCTTCAGCATTTTAGATTTCCTCCTTTAACCAATAGTTTTATTCTGGTAAAATATTCCCGTTCTTTTGCCCCCAATTTCCTTCTACCCATCCATATTTCATCTAATATCTATATTCTGGTATCATTGTAGGATTCCATTACACAAACTCTATGTCCAGATTCAGGGGAAAATAATCTTCACACCAAAATAACTAAAAAAATTCTAATTTTAAATAGTAAAAAATGTCATATTTGAAAAAAATGTAATGCTACCGGTAGAGAGTCTTTGTAGATTTTTCAGAAAGATGTTTTTTTATTTTTTTTTATTAAGAATCAAATATTGATAAATCTATCCACCCCTGTCTGAGTATTATCCCTGGTCCAGTGGTAATTTTTTCCTAATGATTTTTATCACATTATCCAGCCCATATGTCTGGGCAGGCCCATCATTTGTCAAAACAGAGTGGGGGAGGAGAAAGACTCTCATACATCCATAGATGTGCAATGTGCATAGAATACTAACTGAAGAGTGCCCGGCGTTGCCCAGGGTTTATATTATTACTAATAGTTACTCCCGCCGATTACCCGCGCCTAGTATTAAATTATGATTTTAACTGAAGTGCTTGGCGTTGCCTATGGAATTTTTAAAAATGTCAAATTTGATCCTCCAGCCGTTTGGCCAGCTTTAGCTAGTCTATATGTACAGACTAGCTTGGGAACCCAGTTTTGCCAGAAAACATAAATCGACCCAATTGATTTATAATGTTGTTTAAATCAATCAGTTCAGAGGTTCATATCATGCCTTATGATCGGACAAACAAACAGAGATTACTACTTTATATTTCCAGATGAAAGATGAAAAGAAATGCGAGGGGGTCTAGTTGGATTGGTAGCAGAGATTATAGCTAATTAAACATTCATGTGCTGTAGACGAATTAATTTCCTTTAAACTTAGTAAATTCCACATTTTGTAAATAAAGGATTCCAGGAGTCAAGTCAAAACCGATAATTTTCTAATCCATCTGTTTTTGCAACCTGATAGTGTAAATCTTTGATATACAACAAACTTTGATTTATGAAATAAAGCATAGTTAAAATTTTTAAAATCAAAGGTCTTCGACATCAGGTTGAAATGATGGTTGGATTACAAAATTAAATTTGGGACGAGAAATCACAAATAACTCTTTTTATTATTTCCTGATAATTGTAAAACTCCTTGAAATCATCACAAGACGGATAATAATCTTTAAATTCTCCCCTCCTAGCTAAGAACTCTTTAAATTCCCCCCTCCCAGCTAAGAACTCTTTAAATTCTCCCCTCCCAGCTAAGAACTCTTTAAATTCTCCCCTCCCAGCAAAGAACTCTTTAAATTCTCCCCTTCCAGCTAAGAACTCTTTAAATTCTTCCCTCCCATCTAAGAACTCTTTAAATTCTTCCCTCCCAGCTAAGAACTCCTTAAATTCTCCCCTCCCAGCTTAGAACTCTTTAAATTCTCCCCTCCAAGCTAAGAACTCTTTAAATTCTCCCCTCCCAGCTAAGAACTCTTTAAATTCTTCCCTCCCATCTAAGAACTCTTTAAATTCTTCCCTACCAGCTAAGAACTCTTTAAATTCTCCCCTCCCAGCTAAGAACTCTTTAAATTCTCCCCTCCCAGCTAAGAACTCTTTAAATTCTCCCCTCCTAGCTAAGAACTCTTTAAGTGCTTCCCTCCAGGCTAAGCCCTCTTTTAATTGTCCCCTACAAGTTAAATATTCATTAAATTCTTCCCTTCTAGCTAAGAAATCTTTAAATTCTCCCTTCAGTCCCAGCTAAGAACTCTTTGAATTCTCCACTTCCAGCTAATAACTCTTTGAATTTTCTCCTCCCAGCTAATAACTCTTTGAATTCTCCCCTACCAGCTCAGAACTCTTTAAATTCTCCCCTACCAACTAAGAAATCATTAAATTCTCCCTGAAGTCCCAGCTAAGAACTCTTTGAATTCTCCCCTCCCAGCTAAGAACTCTTTAATTGCGCCCATCTAAATTTAAAAAAAACTCTTTAAATTCCCCCCTCCCAGTTTAGAACTCTTTAAATTCTCCCCTCCCAGCTAAGAACTCTTTGAATTCTCCCCTCCCAGCTAAGAACTCTTTAAATTCTCCACTCCCAGCTAAGAACTCTTTAATTGCGCCCATCTAAATTTAAAAAAACTCTTTAAATTCCCCCCTCCCAGTTAAGAACTCTTTAAATTCTCCCCTCCCATCTAAGAACTCTTTAAATGTTTCCCTACCAACTAAGAACTCATTAAATTCTCCCCTCCTAACTATAAACTCTATGTATTGTCCTCTCCCATCTAAGAACTCTTTAAATTCTCCCCTCCCATCTAAGAACTCTTTAAATTCTCCCGTACAAACTTAGAACTCTTTAAATTCTCACCTCCCATCTAATAACTTTTTAAATTCTCCCCTACCAACTAAGAACTCATTAAATTCTCCCCTCCTAACTAAGAACTCTATGTACTGTCCCCTCCCATCTAAGAACTCTTTAAATTCTCCCCTCCCATCTAAGAACTCTTTAAATTCTCCCCTCCCATATAAGAACTCTTTAAATTCTCCCCTACAAACTAAGAACTCATTAAATTCTCCCCTCCCATCTAAGAGCTCTTTAAACGTTTCCCTCCCAACTAAGAACTTTATAAATTCTCCCCTCCCAACTAAGAACTCTTTAAATTCTCCCCTCCCAGGTAAGAACTCTTTAAATGTTTCCCCACCCAGCTAAGAACTCTTTAAATTATCCTCTCCCAGCTAAGAACTCTTTAAATTCTCCCCTCCCAGCTAAGAACTCTTTAAATTCTCCCCTCCCAACTAAGAACTCTATGTATTGTCCCTTCAGATTAAAAACTCTCTAAAATGTCCCCTCTCTCTACCCTCTTTACCCTCACCTACACTTCTCTGGCACTGGAAAATGGATATTATAATGAAACAGGGATGAACATCACCCATTTTTAAACCTTTTTTAAAAATATTTTTTCAATAATTTTAGGCATAAAATTTAAATAAAAACATTTTTATTTTTTATTTTAAATTTTTAAATGCTTGTATATTTTCCCCTGTAAAAGATCATTATTCATTGTCACCCGAACATATACGTAGGGGGAATAAACTCAAATTAAACTTTTTCCCCGCATTCCTTTAACTTTTTAAACCTCTACCAAATATTTAATATATTCACCCGGGGGTTTAAATAAACAGTAGATACAATGCTTTAAAGTTGATGCTTTGTCGCAGATTTGCATTTTCAAAATTATAAATGAAAAGGTTTTCATTTTTGTTGTAAATAATGTAGATAAATATAAATATTATTTGAACTTTTTTGAATTTTTTCTATTTTTATTTTGTTTTTATTTATTTATTTATTTATAATGATATGTAACATATACATTGTGCAATGTGTGCATATTTGTATGCTCTAAGTTTATCCATAAACCGAATTTAATAAAGGAATTGAGTCTTTGTCTCTAAGGTCCACAACATTGGCTTGCAAACCGATAGGGATTAGAAAATCAGAGTTTGTGGCAAAAACGCAATTCCTTTGAGCTGAACTATATAGCTATCGCTGGTTCAAATCTTGAATCACCGATTCAAAGTTAAAGAATCGTGAGGATTTGAATCGGTGATTCAGGATTTAAACCAACGGTAAGAGGTAGTTCAGCGACCTCGTCATTTCATTAAATTCGGTCCCCGGGGTTGTATCGGTAAATTTGGTCCCAGGGGTTGTATCGGTAAATTCGGTCCCCGGGGTTCAATCGGTAAATTCGGTCCCCAGGGTTCTATCGGTAAATTTGGTCCCCGGGGTTCTATCGGTAAATTCGGTCCCCAGGGTTCTATCGGTAAATTCGGTCCCCAGGGTTCTATCGGTAAATTCGGTCCCCAGGGTTCTATCGGTAAATTCGGTCCCCGGGGTTCTATCGGTAAATTCGGTCCCCGGGGTTCTATCGGTAAATACGGTCCCCGGGGTTCTATCGGTAAATACGGTCCCCGGGGTTCTATCGGTAAATACGGTCCCCGGGGTTCTATCGGTAAATACGGTCCCCGGGGTTCTATCGGTAAATACGGTCCCCGGGGTTCTATCGGTAAATACGGTCCCCGGGGTTCTATCGGTAAATACGGTCCCCGGGGTTCTATCGGTAAATACGGTCCCCGGGGTTCTATCGGTAAATACGGTCCCCGGGGTTCTATCGGTAAATACGGTCCCTGGGGTTGTATCGGAAAAACTCAGTCAAGCTAAATCTTTCTTTATTTGAAATCTTTATCAAATAATGTAAAATACAAATTATAAAATTTTAAATTCAAACTATTATTTTGTCTGGTCTATCTTTTATTCTTCAATCTTGTCTGTTATTTTGCCAGTTCTGTCTTTTAATCTGTCTGGTCTATCTTTTATTCTTCCTTTTTGTCTGTTAGTTTGCCAGTTCTGTCTGTTATTCTGTCTGGTCTATCTTTTATTCTTCAATCTTGTCTTTTATTTTGCCAGGTCTGTCTGCTATTCTGTCTGGTCTATCTTTTATTCTTCAATCTTGTCTGTTATTTTGCGAGGTCTGTCTACTATTCTGTCTGGTCTATCTTTTATTCTTCCATTTTGTCTGTTATTTTGCCAGTTCTGTCAGTTATTCTGTTTGGTCTATCTTTTATTCTACCATTTTGTCTGTTATTTTGTCAGGTCTGTCTGGTCTATCTTTTATTCTTCAATCTTGTCTTTTATTTTGCCAGGTCTGTCTGCTATTCTGTCTGGTCTATCTTTTATTCTTCAATCTTGTCTGTTATTTTGCGAGGTCTGTCTGTTATTCTGTCTGGTCTATCTTTTATTCTGCCATTTTGCCTGTTATTTTGCCAGGTCTGTCTGTTATTCTGCCTGGTCTATCTTTTATTCTTCAATCTTGTCTGTTATTTTGCGAGGTCTGTCTGCTATTCTGTCTGGTCTATCTTTTATTCTACCATTATGTCTGTTATTTTGCCAGGTCTGTCTGTTATTCTGTTTGGTGTGTCTTTTATTCTAAGCGTATTTTTGGTTTTCTGTCCAGTCTGTCTGTTATTTTGCCTAGTCTGTCCGTTATTCTTATTCTGCCTGGACTATTTTACCAAGTGTGTCTGTTATTCTACCAATTCTGTCTGTTAATCTGTCTGGTATCCTGTGGATAAAAGATTTATATAAAGGATCCCGACACATTTAACTCATTATAGACACACCCTGTCCCCACACTAGCTGTCTAACTAACATGCTCGTTTAGCTAACTAGTATTTAGGTGTCTAACTATCTATCTATCTAACTTTCTATCTATCAATCTAAATATCTATCTATTTATGCAACTATCTATCTATCTAACTTTCTATCTATCAATCTCTAAGAACACTTTAATTGCGCCCATCTAAATTTAAAAAAAACTCTTTAAATTCTCCCCTCCCAGCTAAGAACTCTTTAAATTCTCCCCTCCCATCTAAGAACTCTTTAAATTCTCCCCTCCCAGCTAAGAACTCTTTAAATTCTCCCCTCCCAGCTAAGAACTCTTTAAATCTTTCTTTTTCTTCTTCATTCACTATATACCGTATAGAAAAAGATATACAGAGAGAACCAGAATACTGTGGAATAGGAAGCGAGGACAAAATATAGCAATCATAAAAGTCTATTTAATGTTGTTGGAACGTAAATAATTTGACCAGTAGCTTATCAAGTGAAAAGGGTCTGGTTTGTACTCGACAAGTTTCAAGTTCATCAGAATATTAAAGTCCGCCTTCTTAATCCAGATCCTCACTGTACAGCGTACATAATTTGTAGTAGAAACCATTTTTGATCGAAATTTAGAGCATTTTGTTGAAAATTACCGGTTTTTGTAACGATGCCCATTTCAAAGTTTTAGGCTCTAAAACTCAGAGGGTAGTTTATTTACAATCCCCTAGAATCTGCAGTACACTTGTTGACAAACAAAATTATTTTAAACAAAATTTATTTATTTCCTCTTTTGTTTTTACATTTCATTTGTCTCTTTCTCTATCTCAATTTTGATATTATTGCCGTCCTCCTCCTAGACCTTTTCCCCCCGGTTCCTTTTCATAAGATTTTCCTGGTTTTCCCACGTAATTTCTTTTTTTTCTTATCATTCTTTTTTCCCTTTTTTTCGCTATTTTATTCTTATTTCCTTCTCTTTCCCATATTCTTCTTTTTTTCCTCATTTCCTGTCTATTTTTCTTTTTATCATTTCTATATCCCTTCTCTCGATTTCCACTTATTTTTTCTTCATCTCTATCTAACTGTCTATCTATATCTATCTATCTATCTATCTATCTATCTATCTATATGAGGGATTCAAGCTACGTATAATTCTTGCAGTCTGACGCACACTGCCCAGGCAAGCATAAAACACAGGGCTTCAGGGATAGAACTTCTTCACAAAATTTAAACAGACAAATCCCGAAATCCGCAATATTTTCTAGAAAATATTATTACTAAAAAGTAATTTAGAAAATGGTTAAATGTTTATATTTATCCCTGTTTGGTAAACTATCATGCAATACTAGTGTGTAACCAATGAAAATGTCGGAAACAAGGAACAATTAAACCTAATTTGTCGAATCCGTCCAATCCAAATCAACCAAAAACTGCATTAGTGGCTAAACAGCTAACCAGCAGTATATGATGAGGGGGTAAAGGTAGGAGATGAGGGAAAGAAAGGGAGAAAGGGGGTATGCCTTGAGCAAAAGTTTATTTACGACAGGGTTTGAAAGAAAGCCTTCCCAAGGGTGTTAGGCGTTAATGAATTTGAAATTAGTTAACAAATGTTCAGTAAAAAAAAAAAATTTCCGAACCCAAACATATAAATTATTTGGATTGTCTGTTCGTTGATTTGTATCCGATAAACGGCTGAACCGATTAGGTTTGTGAAAGGTAATAATAAAAATCCGCCAATAAATGTGAAAATCTTCGATTTTTTTAATTTTAAATATACTTACGAAGAATATAGTGGCATGTATGACAGCATTGACAGGCCACAGGAACTATGTTTTTGCCACAAACTCAAATTTGTCTAATGCTTTTATCTTTTAACCTTTGGTATTTCAAACTTAGACTTTTTGATCTAACAGATCAAAGGTTAAATATCAAAGGTTTACGACATCGGGTAGCAAAACTATATATATGTAGTGATTAAGAGTTTAGAGTTTGTGGCAAAAACTCATTTCCTTTATCAATAGAAATAATGGCGCGAAGCATTCTAAAAACAAAGTTTAACATTAAAAAAAATGCTGTACAAAAAATAATTGTTTGTGTTTTCTAAAATTTTGCAAATTTTAGACCCAGGTGTCGTAAATCTATCAATCAACCAATAATTAAATCTATAAATAAATTAAATACAATTTATGATACATAAAATAATATTATCAAAATTGTTTCACCCCTCCCCCCTTTCCCTCCAAATATATTCTATACCCCATCTTCTGNGAACATGAAATGAGGCAAATTAATGCCTGGAACTCTGTTTGCAAATATTTTTGCTAAAACACCGCGAAATATTGCATTTGCACAGAGAATTGTCTGAATCTGGTCTAAAATGTAAAAATACCCACCCCCTTTAAACATAAATTAGCGGTTTCTAAGACTTCAATGGTTTCATTTTAACCACGCACATTAATAGAAACTCGAACATAATCTTTTCTTTAAAAACTCAGGGTTTTTTAAAAAGATCCAAACGTATTTTTATCATTTGATCGAAATATCATCTACAGATTTTTAAAGAAACTTGTAGAAAAATCTAAGTTTGATCATTGATTCCTTACCTATATTTATTATAATCCAAATTGATATTCCAACTGCAGTACACATAAAAACCCTGAAAGGATGAGACTTAAGAAACGATTGTATAAAATTTATTCCTTGCAACTATATACGCATACTATATCAATTCTAGACTTTTAGGGCGCTTAGAGCCCATCTTGTATTTCAAGTGTGAACGTACATTTTCTCTTTGTATTCATTGTAAAACAAAAACAAACAAATAGGTTAGCGGATGTTCTAAAAAAAATCGTGGATTTACAAATTTAATGGAAATCGAATTTTGTTGGAGGAAAATTTTAGAAATCTTGATCATCCATAAACCTTTCCTGGGGTCACGTGATGTTTCACACAAAATTTGGTCCCGTTAGGTTCAGACGTTTTGACGTTTGTTGGATACAAACGGACAGACAAACAGGTAAGCATATATATATAGAGTTGTTCAAAGAATTGTAACTACTGAGGATCGTCATGATAGACGTGAAACATTATGTTTAGTATAATTCTTTTTTAATAAAAATGTGAGGAGGTGGGTGTATGTAATGACCCGTGTCTGTATCTCTGAACGCAGCACCCATAAATCTTTAGAACCATATCTTGTCCAACCATCCCCCCACATACCAATCAATGGGGCCTCACAGACGCACACTCTCACACACACACACACACACACATACTTCACTCACTCATTCACTCACTCATTTAACCAGGCATTAATTCATTAATTTTATCATCCTTTCATTCATGCATTCATCCTCTCATCCTTCCTTGCATACACTAATTAATAATTTCATTCATTTACTCACTCAACCACTCAATATCTCATTGACTTAAGTTTTTAACTAATTCATTCACTCACTCATTAATTCATGCATTCACTCATTTATCCTTTCATTCACTCATTCATTCATTCATACATTCACTCACTCCTCATATCAAACATTCACTTACTCATTCACTTAAACATTCACCCACTCATTCACTCACTCCTTCAGCCATAAGTGCATGCCACTCACTCACTAAGTTATTACCAATTCGTTATTATCTCCTATCTATACCCCATTACAACCTCAACCCTTTTAAATCATAACCCTAACCTCTCTCCACTTCAGAATTTTTTTTCATTATTTGAAATGTTTGACCAAAGGTCGAAACCTTTAAATGTAAGTTTAATTTCAAGCAACCCTGGATGTAAAGATGGCAATGCTTGATCTACAACGATGCCATTAAAAGCTTTGTCTAATTGATATATGGATAGATTAATATAGATGTAGGTTTTCAAGGGTACGTACTACGTACCGTTACAGAGTAAAGTTGAAATAGATGTATGGATAGATTAATAAAATAGATGTATGGATGGATTAATAAAATAGGTGTATGGACAGATTAATATAATAGATGTATGGATGGATTAATACAATATATGTATGGCTAGATTAATATAATAGATGTATGGATAGATTAAT